TCTGTGTTTATTTTTTATTTATATTATGGTATGAGATGGGAATGGGATATATTTATATATATATTAGGAGCATTTATATATATTGAAGCAAAGCTCTGCAGATCCCCATCAACCTTTATATTTGTTGTCCCACTTTGTTTTTCTATTTTAGTCTCCTATGTGTTGATTGGTTTCTTTGCAGAGTCCAACATTATGTGCACCGAAGTTTGAATCATATTTTTCCCATTTAATCATTTTGTTTGAAAAATTATCTAACATTATGATGAGAGGTGGAGGTTAGTATTGTATTAGTACCACATAAAAGCTTGAGACTAAAATAAATACATATCATTTAATTGAAAATGAGTCAAAAGTGCCTTTACATATCAAAATTTTGATTAAAATGTGATAAATTAAGGCTAAAAGAGTTTAAAAAAAAAAAGCATAAAATTGAGTTTTAGAGGGACTGCTAATGATTTTTGAAATTTCACAGCTGCGACGCCCGATACCCGATACACCGGTCGATACTACCGATACCGATATTCTGCGATCGTTACCGTTACGTTACCCGATACCGCGATTTAGAACTATGGCTATGTACCTCTTCATGGCCATGGATGACAACAAGCTCGTTGCGGTTGTGTGAACCAGCAACTAGTCCGGCACTGGTTTCCATGATGGTGGTGGTGGTAGTAGTGACTGTGGTGATGGGAATGGGACTAATGAGAGGGGTATGGTAAGTTTGGGGTTGGTTTTTATGGAATGAAAATGAGGGGGGTGATAGTAGTATCTCTCTCTCTCTCACCTAATGTGTCCACATAATGGGTGGTGGTGTTGGTTGTAGAGTCCCCATTGCCTTGAAGTTAAGCTTCCTCTATTCAACTACCATGCACATCCTCTCTCTCTCTCTCTCTCTCTAACGACTACCTTGTGTAGAAATGGTTAAGTTAATTTGTCTAAATCTCCCTCTGATATTTTTTGAATCAAATTGGTATGGTTGCCTCCTTCATACGGATTAGACAATTTGACTTTAAAAAAAAAGAAAAGAAAGAAAGAAATATAAAAAAGAAAGAAAAACTTAAACAATCCGAATCTCAAATCAATATCTAAATAATTAATATACTCAATATCATATCATATTATAGTTTAATAAAACTATTAAATAAGAGGCATATTAACTAGCTAATAAAATCTCGTAAGAAAAACAAATACTAAAAAATAAAATTATAATTAAATTAAACTCTTAAATAATAAAAAAAAAGAATATACTAAATTCTCTAAGTATTTGTATCTCAATTAATTCATAAGATATCCTTATATTTGCTAAAGATATATCATCAGCATCAGTTGATGTATAGTTGCTGTATGTTAGTTACACTGTTAGTTGTATCACAGAGTCTGTTACAGAGTTTGTTAAGAGAAGTGGTTAGTTTGTTAGTGTATGGTTAGTGTGTGTGTTAGTAGTTAGTTAGTGCTGGGTATTTTGTATATATATACATACTGATGTAATATGTTTGTTATTAATAAAAATGGATAGTTGATAAAACTTCTTCATGGTATCAGAGCTTGGGAAGCTCCAACGAGCAACAATGGCATCATCATCTACAACACCTCTGATTCCTTCAAATCTGAGTGTATTGCTCTCGAATCTCAGTTCACTTGTTACAGTAAAGTTAGATGGTACAAACTTCCTTGTTTGGAAAGGCCAACTGCAGAATATCCTTAGAGCAACAGATCTCCTAAAAATTGTTGATGGATCTTTTCCGTGTCCTGCTGAGAACATCTAGAATTCATCTGGTGTTGAAGTTCCGAATCCTGAAGTAGCTCAATGGAGACTGTTAGATGCGCACCTGCTTAGTTGTGTTACAGCCACACTATCTCCGGCAATATTCACATCTGTGAATCATCTTCAAACCAGTGCTCAGGTTTGGCAATCTCTTGATAAAAAATTTACATCATTGTCTCGTTCACATATTCATCAACTCAAAAATAGACTGAATTCAATTTCAAAGAAGAATGAATCTATGGAAACCTATCTCCATCAGATTAAAAATCTTGTCGATCAATTAAGTCTTGCATCTTCTACTGTTGATGATGAGGATGTGGTGCTCATCACATTGAATGGACTTCCGAGTGAGTATGATGCTATGAAGACAGCTATTCGCACTCGATCAGAGAGTATTTCAATGGCAGATTTGTCTTCTCTACTCTGTTCTGAAGCCTTACATATTGAAGCAAAGACTAAACAGTCATCTGATCTAACTGTTGCATATGCTTCAGTCAAAGAACCTAATTCCTCAAAAGGTTTTCAAGCCTATCATGGAAGAGGTGGTTCACGACATGAATCTCGAGGTTTTTTCAGAGGCAATCGATCTCAGTTTGGGAGATCAAACTCTACTTCTTCTTCTTCTTATCGTGGCCGATCTGCATATTTTCCTGGTCGTAGTAGGCCTAATTCTGGCTTAATCTGTCAGATTTGTGGAAAATCCAATCATTCGGCTTTGGAATGTTGGCATCGGTTGGATACTCAATTTCAACCATTATCTACCTCTCAGCCACAGCCACATAATAGCTCTTCTGCGCCTCATACATCTAGAGCTTTTGTTGCATCTGCTACTGATGAAGCCTCTCAATGCTCAAGTCCTTGGTTTCTTGATTCAGCTGCATCTGATCACATCACTCAGGATCTTCATCACCTGCATTCTTATCAGCCATATTCTGGTTCAGAACAAGTCACCATTGGTAATGGCTCTTCTCTTCCCATTACTCATACTGGGCAAGGTATTTTACCTACCCCTCATCATTCTTTCTGGTTAAATAAGGTCTTGCGAGTGCCTAATATTTCTTCTAATCTTCTTTCTGTTCATCAACTAGCTAAAGATAACAATTGTTCTGTTATATTTGATCAGTCTTCTTTTTTCATTCAGGACAATCATTCCAAGGCCATTCTGCATAAAGGCTATCATGCTAATGGCCTGTATCATTTTCCTGTCCTGTCAACTCATGTCTCACCATCTAGTTCTCCTCATGCTTTCCATAGTTCAACTGTTAATGCTACAGCATCTGCTGATACTTGGCACAAGAGATTGGGGCATCCTTCTGCTTTTAAATTTCACTTACTGCAGAGGCACTTGTTCTTAAATAATAAAAATAAAACTCTCATCTCTTGTATTGATTGTTCTATGTCTAAATCTCATAGACTACCATTTAAACTGTCCAATTCTACTGTGAATCAACCCCTTGCTTTAATTCACACTGATGTTTGGGGACCCTTTTCTTGTGCTACCTCTAATTACAAATATTATGTTGTGTTTGTTGATGATTTTAGTCACTTTACTTGGCTTTATCCTTTAGCTTACAAGAGTGAGGTGTATGTCAAATTTACTGAGTTTAAAATGTTTGTTGAAAGACAATTTGGCTATCCTCTTAAAATTTTGAGATCTGATGGAGGTGGTGAATTTTAAAATCATTCTATGCACAACTTCATGACTACACATGGTATTCTTCATCAGTCTTCTTGTCCTCATACACCCGCACAAAATGGTGTAGCAGAACGTAAGCATCTCCATATTACTGAAACTGCCATTGCTTTATTACATCAATCTACCTTACCACTTAGTTACTGGTTTGATGCTGTAGCTACTGCTACTTTTCTGATTAATAGGCTACCTAGTGTGACTCTTTCTAATTCATCTCCTTTTGAAAAATTGTTTCAAAAGCCACCTGATTATTCCTTGCTTAAAGTTTTTGGTTGTTTGTGTTTTCCATGGTTTCAGCCTTATTCAGCTCATAAATTGTCTCCTAAATCTACTCCTCATGTTTTTCTTGGATATCATCCTGCATTTAAAGGTTATAGGTGTTTGAATCCTCTCACTGGTCATATCATTCTTTCTAGGCATGTTCGATTTGAAGAACATATTTTTCCTTTTGCCTCTTCTACATCTGTGTCTGTCTTTTCTTCTTTACCTGTCCTGCAAAATTTCTTTTGGACTGCAGCTTCTCCTACTGCTGTTGCAGTCCAGCCTCCAGCACATCCAACTCCAGTTCTGTCTGTCTTCTCCTGTTCTGCCTCCCTCTGCTTCAGCTCAATCTGGTTTTGTTCACCCTGCTCCTGCTGCTGCTGCAGCTTCTCCTGCTGCTGTTGCAGTCCAGCCTACTACTGCAGCTTCTCCTGCTGCTGTTGAAGTCCAGCCTACTACTGCGGCTTCTCCTGCTGTTGTTGTCGTCCAGTCTATACCCCTTGTTCCTTCTACACCTATTACTTCTATTTCTATACCTCTTCCTCTTCTTCCTCCTACCCTCAATACTCATTCTATGCAAACCAGATCTAAAACTAAGCATCCAATTTTCACTGTTCAGATCACTGATGGGTCCACTGAGCCTCTTTCTACTTCATCTGTTATTGCTTCTCCCATCTGGTTTCAGGCTATGTTGGAGGAATATTCTGCTCTTCAACAACAGGGCACGTGGTCTTTGGTCTCCCTTCCTCCTTCTAAACAAGCTATTGGATGCAAATGGGTTTTTAAGATCAAGAAAAATTCAGATGGTACTGTGGCTCGTCACAAAGCTCGCCTTGTGGCTAAAGGTTTTCTTCAACAATATGGAGTTGATTTTTAGGACACCTTCAGTCCTGTTGCTAAGCAACCTACAATTCGCATTTTCCTTTGCTTGGCCTTGTCTCATCATTGGCCCATTAAACAATTGGACATCTCCAATGCATTCTTACATGGCAAGCTTGAAGAAGAAGTTTATATGGAACAACCCCCGGCTTTGTTGATCCTTCTTCTCCCTCTTTGGTTTGTAAGCTTCATAAAGCCCTCTATGGCTTGAAACAAGCTCCTCGAGCTTGGTATTCCACTTTTTCCTCCTTTCTTCTTTCTCAAGGTTTTACAAATAGTAAGTGTGATACCTCTTTGTTTGTTCACAAAACCTCTTCCTCTCTTACCTTCCTTTTGATATATGTTGATGATATCCTTCTAATTGGTACCAACGCTACCTACATCCAAACTCTTTTAGCTCATATGCATCTTGCCTTTTCCATGAAGGAATTAGGTGACCTCTCTTATTTTCTTGGCATTTCTGTCCAGTCTCACCATAATGGTTTCTTTCTTCATCAACACAAATATGCTTCTGATTTGCTTCTTAAAGCTGGCATGATTGGGTGTAAACCGTGCTCTACACCTGTTTCTTCCAAGCCTTCCTTCACTGCTTCTGATTCTTTGCCTTATCCTAACCCATCTTTGTATCGCAGTATTGTGGGTGGCCTTCAGTATCTTACTATTACTCGACCTGAGTTGTCCTATGCAGTCAATCAAGCTTGTCAGTTCATGCATTCTCCTACAGTTGGGAATTTTTCTGCTGTCAAAAGAATTATGCGCTATATTAAAGGTTCTTTATCTCATGGCCTTCTTTTCACTCCTAGCTCTTTTCAACTTCATGCCTACACTGATTCCAATTGGGCTGGTGATCATATTGACAGACGCTCCACCTCCGGCTATTGTATTTTTCTGGGTGATAATCTCATATCTTGGTCTTCTAAGAAACAGCCCACGGTTTCCCGATCATCGACTGAAGCCGAATATCGTTCGCTAGCTAATACCACTGCCGAACTCACTTGGCTTCAAATGTTACTTCAAGATTTTTCCGTTCCTCAATCTTCTATTCTGGTTGTCTGGTGTGATAGTCAATCTGCTCTTGCTTTGGCTGCCAATCCTGTGTTTCATACCAGGTCTAAGCATATCGAAGTAGACTGCCACTTTGTTCGCGACAAGGTTCAAGCTCATCAATTACTTCTGCGTCATGTTCCTACTGCTTCCCAGCTTGCTGATATTTTCACTAAACCATTGTCGACTTCTCGGTTTTCTTTTCTCACTTCCAAACTCAGAGTTGCTTCTACTCCCTTGAGTTTGAGGGGACCTGCTAAAGATATATCATCAGCATCAGTTGATGTATAGTTGCTGTATGTTAGTTACACTGTTACTGTATATCAATATTTTAATAAGTCTTATTATTTTAGATGTTTAATCCGTCAAATCATAATTATTTTATGAACAATTTTACATTTATAAATATTTTTTAACCTCTTAGCAACGTAGTGTGCACTATTTTGAACCATTTTAAATGTTCTATGATGTGAACATTAACAGTGTGAATATTCACATCATGAAACATTTATACATTAATGCGCACATCATCCTATTATTATTAGGAGTATTTTGGTAACTTTGTCATCTAAAAAAATTATTGGAACATAAGAAAATAATTTGGATTAAGTGAAAGTGAAAAAAGATTTATAAATAAATGCTCATCTATACTATATATTAAGGAAAATAGGTTTTTAACTTTGAGAGCTCTAGGAGTTTCAAAACTCCAATTCAATTATGCTGTTTTTTGGTTATTTTTTAAAATAAAAACAAAATCATTGGCTAATAAAGATTAAAATTTAAAATTTTAGTTAATAAAGAATTTATTGAATTCACATTTCATTTAGGGATTTAAATTTCAAAATCCACATGATTTAAGTAATTGTTTTCTATAATAAAAATATACTATATATTTTACCTAGCTAAAAAAAATTTGTTTTACAAGCCCTACCTGCCGTACCACTGCTCTATCCCTTCTTTGTTGTCAACGAGAGAAAGAGATGGTGAGCATTAATGAAGTGAAAGACTTAAAAGTTAGTGTGTTTAAATGAAATGAAAAGATCCACAATATAGAAGAATCACAAGGGTTGCTCATGTTTCGCATCAAGAGTGAATCCAAGAAAGCCATTCAGATCAAACAAGGTGGTTGTGTTAAAGAAATCTTTAAAAGGTTTGAAGTGTCACTATTCGATCTCATGAAATTATCAACTCTGAACTCCACAGAACAGTTGGATTCTCAAGCAAATCAATGGATGATATATATATAAATCGCGGTATCGGGTCTAAGTAATTGCCCATTCAGATCTAATGATTTTTGAAATCATCCATTGGTTACATGCATATATATATATATATATATACAGACCCAGCCCTAGGATTGGGCGTATGACAAAAATAGTATTTACAATCCAACTATAATTGACAACGAGAGTACGAACCCAAAAGCCCAACAAAACTTCACTAAATGCACGGGCGTCTCCAAGTGCCTAGTTAGACCTAGGTTGACAAACGGGGGACAGGTATCGGGTTATGACTGACCTCCTGATTGAGCACCTATAGAAACAGACAAAATACGGAGTGAGCTACGCTCAGTGAATAATAGTACCTATACAGTTCAATGCGCAATTTAAATCATAATGCATAACAATGCATAAGTGACTGTAGAGTTCTTAAAGTTAATCTAATGCTACGTTACTTTCAGAATGGCCTTAGGCCCGGATATAACAGAACGGCCATCGGCCCAGAAATAGCAGAACGGCCATCGGCCCAAAAATAGCAAAACGGCCATCAACCCAGAAATAGCAGAACGGCCATCAGCCCAGAAATAGCAGAACGGCCATTAGCCCAGAATTAATTCAAATGCACACATCTTCTTTCAACATTTCCATTCACATCATTTTTCAACCCTTATACATGTCAAGGTAGTGCTTTACGGAAATCAGAACATTAATAACCATGAATATTAACGAGAAGCAAATGTACTACTACTCACAGTGTCATGGCGGGACGCTACTTCCTCCCGGAGTGTGCCCTACACACACATAGAACTCACAAGTTAGTTCAAGTTCCTCCTAACTTCGCATTTCATTCGTTAATTTCCAATAAATAAAGGAACACTGTAAAAATTTCAAATCTTAATTTCACACATCCCAGAGGGTCAAACAGGTAAAACGGAGCAAACCATGTTTTTCAGCTTAGGCCGCACGTGCGGCTGTGAGCCCCGCATGTGCGGCAAATTTCCCCGCACGTGCGGCAGTGATGCCCCGCACGTGCCTTTTAAGCAGTGTCCAACGCCCAAATTTTGCCCCATTTGCCGCACGTGCGACAGTGACTCCCGCACATGCGGCGATTCTACCAAAACCTGTCCGAAATTCTCCAAAAATCCAATTCTTTGGGGACTTCAACAAGGTCCAAAATAGATCCTTTAATGCATCAATATGGTCTAAACATCATGTAATTTAGAAGACACAACATGTAGACACATGATTCCATGGCCAAACATAAATCTTGCACAAAGTATTTTAAGCTTAAATTCATTCTTGCTCCTTGCATTTCATGAGCACAACATAAACATGGAGAAGTATATACAATAAAATCATCCAAGTCCATAATTGGGCATGATCATGCATAGATAAGGGATATGATGAAATTTAACTCTAAATCAAGCTAACATCAACACATCTTCTCAATTAAGTCCATACACATCCCACACATCCCACATCAAGGAAAATTCTACTCAAACACCAAGAATGCCTATCCAAGACAAGAGATGAGGTAATTAAGGTATAATCTACATAAAATTTACATACCTTGAGGTGTAGGTCTTTCAAATTCTTAACCTCCTTGATAATCTTCTTCACTCTTACCCCCCAAACCCCTCTCTCAAGAGATAGTTAACATGAAGCTTCTTAGGTCAAGGGTCTAAGAACATAGATTTATATATAATGTGTGAATAAGGACAAATATCAATCGTTTAATCATCCCAAATTGAAATTTCACCGAAATGCTTAATATTACCTAAAAATTATGTTGAACTCAAATATAACATCAATTTCGTATTATCATACCTCTAAGGCTCCAATTTCTGTTCTAAACATTTTAAATGCACAGATGTTTTTCTTATCCAACAGATAAAATCACAAATTGTTTTCATCAAGTATGTAAAGGCACAAAATAAGGGACCTAAACATGTCAGAAGCACATACGAGGGTCGGGTTATTACAAGAAATGAATAGGAACCTACATCATCTCTTTGTGAATATGGGCAAGTTAATACCCAAATCCGTTTATCTTTGAGAGATATACTGACTTGATCGTCGGAGTGCCCCCGGGTGGTCGAAACCACCGCGGGATTCTTATATTTCTGTTGCAGGTCCGTCAGGTGCCATCTATTCTGCCAGTGCTCTCTAGCTGGTTACTAAGCGGGCAGTGTGGTCGGAAAATCACCCACACAGTCAGGTAGCTTTTTCATATGATTTACTCTCTCGTAAAAGGTGCTCACTATTGATTATTGAGACTTGTGAACTATGCTTGTAACTCTACAGTGTGTTAAATTCAACACATTCAGATACAATAAATCACATAAAGTTAATATTATATATATAAACATGTACCATGTATCTGAAAATAGGGTGAGATCTAGTTTCAGATCCTTTATAAGCCTATCTGTCCAATAATTTTTCATTTGAGTTGCACGAATCCATCAATTCTTGTGTTTGTGCAACTAAAATTAAAAGTGAGTTATGTCTAGCAGAATTGACCTGGAAGGCTAACCATGTAGGCTGTAGGTGAGGTCCAGCTTACTAAAATATATATCATGCAACATTAATGAGGTTTTTGTCATAATTATTGAGCAAGTTGCTTTACTGCTCATGAAGTTTCTCTATGTAGGTGTTCTTGTTTAATTTGTTATCTTGGATTTTGAGAATTAATTGCTTTAAGTTCTTTGTGTTTTTCTTTATGCATAATGGTGACTATCTGTTATACTTTCATATTTTGAACTTTCCAATTCCATTTGTTGACTGCAATTTTTCATTTTTATAAAAAAAAAAAAGAGGATGTTACAAACATCTTAAATGCAATGTTTTATACCCAGAAAGTTGAAGTCTGGTTTAAAACCCACCTTCACTTGTTAATATCTATCCATTGCCTAGCATGCACTTTCATATGCACACACTGAAAGAAAGAAAACAATGTTGTACATGTACAGTGTCTTAAAAAGGTACAGGCACCAATTTATGGTTTATTGTATGAACTTGTGCTCTTTTCCTTAATAGAACAAATTGAAAAATTCACACTTTAAAAAGAAAGGAGCAAATTTTATACCCCAAAACTTGCTTAATATGAAAATCCACTTAGAAAGATTTGTTCGTCGATTCTTCTTTTTAAGTTTAAAATTTGAAGTTTTTATGCGAGTATTCTCGCAGTTTGACCTTAAAACCCTAAATCAAGTGTGACTTATATACTTGTAATTTGAAAATTCTGCTTCAAATAAAAATCCAAGAAATAAAAATCAATTCATGATTTTCATAATTGTTCTCCAAAGAGTGTGGGTAATAAAGGAGAACTGGAAAAAAGAAAAAGAAAATGGGTACTAAAAATTGGAAAACAAAACAAACAGTGTGGGTAAAGGAGTTTCAATTTTGTGTATTGCAAATTTTATTGAATGTTAGTGCTCTTGGAAATTAAAACATTTATCAAAATCCAAGTTGGCTTTATATATTAGTGCTCCTGGAAAGTTGTTTGTAACTTTTGTTTGGGTCTTTAGTCACTTTATTATAGTTAAATTATTAAATAAATTCAATAATATAAATATTGACATATAGTTTTAAATGTTAACTTCAAAGTATTTTAGAATGATTATGGTGAAGTGAAATAGTGGATTTTACCATGTATATGTATGTATATACACATCTCTACTGGTTTGAATTTACCACATGAATTCAAGTTGAAATTTTCTCGATTTTTGCTTTTTCTAAATTAATCAATGTCCAACATGTAATTTTCTAAATGGAAATTTGGATTTCTTATTTAATCATTACATGATCTTACCAGTTAATTTTATCCATAAAGGTGCATTTTATTCGCTAAATCTTTAATTTTATTGTTATCTTATATATATATATATATGTATGTATATGTGTGTATGTCTCTAACTATGCATCTGAATATGATTGTTTTCCTTGTTTTGATGATTTACATGATCATAACAGGTTACTCCATTCATGATTATAAGTGCACATTTCTTTCTCATTCCTATTCTTGTGAATTTTCTTTGCTTTTATGTTTTTAATATTTTCAAAAATAGACCC